GGCGAAGGGAAAGAAAAGATGAGGTAGAAAAACGTGTACAAGCAATAGGGATAACCGCACCCTGGAGAGGATTGTAAAACAAAACCCATTCCAAAATGTGGGGGAGATTCACGAAGAGTGGACTACAGCTGGAGTCAGTGCTTCAAGAACCACCATGCACAGACGTATGCAAGACATGGGTTTCAGCTGTCGCATTCCTTGTGTCAAGCCACTCTTGAACAAGAGTCAGCATCAGAAGTGTCTTGCCTGGGCTAAAGACAAAAAGGCCTGGACTGCTGCTGAGTGGTCCAAAGTTATGTTCTCTGATTAAGTAAATTTTGTATTTCCTTTGGAAATCAAGGTCCCAGAGCCCAGAGGACAAGAGGAGAGGTACAGAATCCACGTTGCTTGAGGTCCAGTCTCAAGTTTCCACAGTCAGTGATGGTTTGGGGTGCCATGCCATCTACTGGTGTTTGTCCACTGTGTTTACTGAGGTCCAAGATCAACACACCCATCTACCAGGAAATTTTAGAGCACTTCCTACTTCCTGCTGCTGACCCAACTTTATGGAGATGCAGATTTCATTTTCCAACAGGACTTGGTACCTAATTGGCCAGCAAACTTGCCTGACCTTAACCCCATAGAAAATCTATGGGGTATTGTTAAGAGGAAATGCGACACAGCAGACCCAACAATTCATAAGAGCTGAAGGCCACTATCTAGCAACCTGGGCTCTCATAACACCTGAGCAGTGTCACAGACTGATCGACTCCATGCCACGCCGCATTGCTGCAGTAATCCAGGCAAAAGGAGCCCCAACTAAATATTGTACTACTAAATATTCAACTAAATATTAAACATAATGGTACTTCCTCCAGTTATTGAACAGTCAACAATGGTGTACCACAAGGCTCAGTCTTAGGACCCACCCTCTTTACAATCTACATAGGTAATGTAGGTCAAAACATCCCTGATGCATCTTAACATTTCTATGCTGATGATACAGTTGCTCATTGTTGAGCTAAAACAGTTGCTAAGGCTTTCCAGCTTTTGCAATCTGCATTCAACATCATCCAGTCTGATTTGTTCTGCCTCAAACTTGTCCTAAATGCCGACAAAACCAAAAGGATGCTTTATTCAAACAGGAAGTCAATCCCAATAGTTAGTTCTTCCTCTGATTTTATCCTCAAATGGTGTCCCGATTGAGTTTGTTGATTCCTGTAAATATTTGGGTATCTTAGTAGACTCACATCTCTCTTTTAAGCTCCATGTGGAAAACCTAGTAAAGAAACTGAAAGTTAAACTGGATTTCTTTTTCAGAAACAGATCCTGTCTAACTTTGGATGCTAGGAAACACTTTGTATCTGTGACTTTCCTTCCCTCCATTGATTACGGCGACATTATTTACATGAACGCTTCTACAAGCACCCTGCAAATGTTGGATGCTGTCTATCATGGTGCACTAAGATCCATAACTGGCTGTGATTATCGTACCCATCACTGCACCCTGTATTCACTGGTTAACTGGACATCATTAACTTCACACAGACTCTCCCACTGGTACATTTTCATCTTTAAATCACTTCTTGGTCTGCTGCAGCGTGCTCTCTCAGGACATTATTACCTGCAGTGTTCCCTCAGTGAGGACTGAACTTGGCAAAAGGGCCTTCTCCTACTCCGCTCCTGTTTCCTGGAATATCTTACAAAAAGATCTGAAGATCTCAGCCTTGACCTCTATTTTTTATTTTTTTTCATTTACCCTTTATTTATACAGGTAGTCTCATTGAGCCACAAGAACTCATTTTCAAGAGAGACCTGTTTAGGGAGCAGATGGGGGTTAAGGGCCTTGCTCATGGGCCCAGAGTGGGGCAAATGAGGGTGGGGGCAGGTGTAGATGCTTCACCTACCCAGTCCACATTTTTGATGCTGTCGGTACCGGGGTTTGAACCGGCGATCTTACGATCACAAGCCCACCTTCTAAGTGGCTTTAAGAATCTGTTGAACTCCTGGCAAGGACCACTGCAGACATGTTCATGTTTTTAGTTTTCTACATTCACCTTATAATCTAGCTGTTTTTTGTTACTTTTTGCCATCTTATTTGTAACAAAAAAAAATCTGTATGCCTTTTTGTGGCTGTCTATTGTTGCCGTCATTCTTTGTTGACACTTCTCTCTTGTAAATGAGTCCTCGAGGCTCAATGGGGTTTACCTGTCTAAATAAAGGTTGAATGAATTGAGTGCTGTACATGCTCCTACTTTTCATGTTCATACTTTTCAGTTGGCCAACATTTCTAAAAACCCTTATTTTATTGGCCTTAAGTAATATTCTAATTTTCTGAGACACTGAATTTGGGGTTTTCATTAGTTGTCAGTTATAATCATCAACATTAAAAGAAATAACCACCTGCATAGCGCCTTTCTGTCTCATCAAGATACTCAAAACACTTTACACAATCTACAATCTACAATCTAATTTCTACAATCTGTGTCCTCATTTACCCATTCATACAGCACTCTACTAGATCTATACAAAGATTAATCTTTATCACATTCAAACACCGATGGGACAGACATCGGAGGCAATGAGGGGTTTAGTGTCTTGCCCAGGGACAATTCAGCATGTGACTGCTGGTGGCATTGAGCCCCCCAACCCTTGCATTGGAGGATGACTGCTCTAACCACTCAACCAGTCGTCCCAAAGATAAAACGGAATAAACTGAGCATTTAGCACCACAGTGGGGAGTAATTTAAAGCTAGAACTACTTCTGTTGATGTAAAGTTTACAAAAATCCTTCAGTTTCTAACAGTAGATATACAGACTCTGTCAGTCTGTGTCTTTTTTTATTGTTTGGCAAGTTCAGGATTTGGTTCCATTTATATTTTTATTTTTACCCCTGTATTCCATTAGTAATCAGCACACCAATTGTTCCTCAGCAGTACACATGCTTGCTGTTTATTCTCAGTTGTTTAGTTGTGAAGTTTGTTGATGTGATTATGGAAATAAAAGTTTAGCTGTGAAATACATAAACAGGGTCCCCAGCATTTCATGAACACAAAATTCCCTGAGTTTTCCTTGATGTTTCCCCAAGTAAATCCTGAGATTTCAGGAGACATTTCAATCACATGAAATGTTCAGAACTTTTTGTCTTGGTGGTGGGCAGATCTGAGATGACAGTAAATATACTGTAGCTTATAGTATGTATGTGCACACAGGAGTCATTCCTAATTATTAATTACATTGTATGACATCAAATACTAAAAAGCCACCATAGTCAATCAGTAAGGATACATGCAACATGGACCCAATTATATTAGAAAACTAGCATTGATATATGTACATGTTAAAATCTCAGAAATATCATCACTTAATCAGCAGATCAGTTTTCCCTGCCTGGTGAATGTGAAAGTCATTTTCCAGGTTTTCACTGATTTCCAGATACTCTGGGAACCCTGATGGTGGACACAGTCTTACAAAAAGACAGCTCTGATGAAAACCAGTAAAGGTTTTCAATTTTGCCATTTTGAAAAAATTATTCATCCATCCATAATCTTTACCCATTTCCTCCTTTCCAGGATGCGGGGGGTCGCTGGTGCCCATCCGTCACAGGGGACACCCTGGACAGGTCCAAGTCCATGAACACAAAGAGACAAACAACCATTCACTCTCTCACTCACACCTTAGGACAATTTAGAGTTATCAATCAGCCTAACATGTATGTTTTTGGTCTGTGGGAGGAAATTGGAGTACCCGGACAAAACCCACGCATGAATGGAGAGAACGTGCAAACTCCACCCAGAAAGGCCCCTGGCCAGGATTTGAACCAGGGCGACCTGCTCGCTGAGAGGCAGCAGCTCTACCAATTGCGCCACCGTGCTGCCCTTGAACATACTGTATTAGTTTCAAACAAATGATGTGAATCTCACTTTCATCCTTTATATTTACATAATCTTGTAAAAAAAAAAAAACATATTGCACATCTCAAATATTTATTAGCATAAGAATAAATTTTAAAGGATTATCATTTTTTGCATTAATTGCACTAAATAACTAAAAAGCATCAGCAAAAGAAAGTTTAAATCTAAGAATGCATGTAAATTGTAAACCTGTCAGATCAACTTGGAGAGGGGACGTTACCTCTGAATCACAATCAAGTTAAATATATGACGACATCAAAACTGAACCAGGTAGATCACACATGTATATTTATTCTAGAAATACCACAAAATAAAACTTGGTAATACATAAAATGACATCCACTGTCAGATAAGTTTGATAAACAGACATTTTTTTTTAAGTTGGTGAGATGCATTACTTTAAAAATGACCTTAGAAATACAAAGATTCCATGGTTTTAATTAAAATTCAATTTTGAGAAGTTGTTGACACATTACTACATTTCAAATCAATTTCTACATGTTTACGCTCAATCATTATGTTTTACTTACAAAAAATTATAAAAATAACAAAAGGAACAGCATCAGAGTTCATGCTCAATAATCCAGGTAAAAAATCCAACAAAGTTCAGTCAGGTCCTCTGGACGGTTTCTTTATTTTGTTGAGACGTTTCGTCCTTCATCCAAAGGATTTCATCAGTCCAAGGAGCCACAGTGAACTCTGTCTCACAAGCATCACACTCACATAGTGAGCCACCCAGTTTGCTGGTGATAAGACGGTTTCTGGGGCCCGCCCTCCCCCCCATTGACCCCTCTGAGGAAGCCATAACCAAAGTTCAAAACATCAAAGTTCATGCTCAAAAATCCAGGTAAAAATCCAACAAAGTTAATAAGTCAGGTCATCTGGACGGTTTCTTGTTTTTGAGTTGAAGTCCTTAGAATGAAAGACAAAACATCTCAATAAAAAAAAAAGAAACCATCCAGATGACCTGACTTAACTTTGTTGGAAAAGAAACAGCAGTTTCTGACAGTTTTGTGACACTTTAATGCAGTTGCATCATTTTTATATTTACCAAGTTATTCTTGTTCAAACTTACTGACATGCTGTTTGATGTGAAACTCTGTGAAGCTACAAAACCACAGTCTTCATGTAGTGCTTGGACCTGTGCTTCTCCTGTGGGCTGTTTGGTGGTCTCAGGTCATAGTCCCCTGCTAGTCTCAGGTCATAGTCCCCCATGCACACAGCCACAAAAAACAGGGTCCCTCCTATGACCAGACCCAATCCTCCAAACCATCCTGAGAACATTGCCTCGCCATACTCCCACCGGGGCATCGCATCAGGAAAACCTTCATCCCAGAATTCCACTACGGTCGTGTACGCCACAATAGACACGGGGGCCAGAGTAGTGAGCCCTGATACCCAGGTCAGGACTCCACTAAATATATGGAGCCCTCTCTTTACAGCAGGCTGACCCACAAACATCCCAACCCCGTCCAGACCTGGGAAGGCAGCCAACAGAGCAAAAGCTCCAGTGCCTATAGATATCAGCATGAGGACCCTGGAGATCTGCAGATCCATCGGCAGTCCCAGGATTGAGTCGTAGGCCTTACACTGAATCCCCCTCTCATCCGTGTAGAGGCAGGTGAGCCACAACCCAGAGAACCAGTTCTCAACTTCATTCAGCTCCGAGTTCATCGTTTTCCACAGAGGCAGAAAGGTGGTGACCAGAGACGTTACGAAGCTCCCGAACGTCACAAAGAATGCCGTCCTTTGCATCATTTTAGTCGTGAGGAAAACCATCTTCAGTCTCAGTTCGCAGAAAGTTCGTGCTGGGATTCTGCTATTCTGTTTTGTGTTAACAGTGTAAGAGATCCAGAGTGTCTTTGTGGCCCAGCCCAGCTGCTGGAAAGGGCCCCATTTCTCCAGCCTCCTTAATAAAACGCCCCTGATAAGAGGGAGATAATCCTGGTCTGCAGCAAACAAAAGACCCTCTGTTTGCTCTCAGCGTTCAATGTCATCACGCAGAATATTGACCTCTGTTTTAAAATGAAACCAAATATGTTAAATTCCAGACGGTGTGTGTGCACGTGTGTGTGTGTGTGTGTGATTTTAAACATAAATGAAACACATACAAACACATTTAGGAAGAAATCAAAGCATAAGGGGGCTTATTCTCAAATCTGAGAGTTTTAGTACAGCTTTTCAGATTGAACAGCTGCACCATCTTTACTAATAAAGAAGATGTGGAATATTTTTAATTTGGAAATTTGCAGCCGAAAAGAAGTCAAAAGTGGGACATTTTATTTGCCAAGTGTCTCAAGTATCTGGACCATGAATAGCGCCTTGTGCTCAATCTAATGGTCCACACAAGTCTAAAAGAGGCCAGTTGTGTCCAATTTTGAATTACACCTCTAGAAGTCCTGTACTGATGCATGCCCCCCCCCCCCCCCCCCCAAAAAAAAAAACAACCTGTGAACTTGCTTTTTAATTATGCACTTGTCTTCTTAGTTCAATGATCTGTAAAAAATACCTGCAAATTGTTTTCTTGGGTGTTTCAATGATAGTTGAATGTTTCAAATGAACCTGACTCTAAGATGCAGTCTAATACAAATGTTTGATATTCTTTAAAAAATAAAAATACAAACTGGATTCCAAAAAAGTTGGGACACTAAACAAATTGTGAATAAGAACTGAATGCACTGATGTGGAGATGGCAAATGTCAATATTTTATTCGTAATATAACATAGATGACAGATCAAAAGTTTAATCTGAGTAAATGTAACATTTTGAAGGAAAAATATGTTTATTCAAAATTTCACATTGTCAACAAATGCCAAAAAAGTTGGGACAAGTAGCAATAAGTGTCTGGAAAAAGGAAATTGAGCACATAACGAACAGCTGGAAGACCAATTAACCCTAATTAGGTCAATTGACAACATGATTGGGTATAAAAAGAGCTTCTCAGAGTGTCAGTGTCTCTCAGAAGCCAAGATGGTAAGAGGATCACCAATTCCACCATTGTTGTGCAGAAAGATAGTGCAGCAATACCAGAATGGTGTTACCCAGCGTAAAATAGCAAAGACTTTTAAGTTATCATCATCAACCGTGCATGACATCATCAAAAGATTCAGAGAATCTGGAACAATTGCTGTGTGTAAGGGTCAAGGCCGTAAAACTCTACTGGATGCTCGTGATCTCCGGGCCCTTAAACATCACTGCACCTCAAACAGGAATGCCACTGTCAAGGAAATAACAGAATGGGCTCAGGAATACTTCCAGAAAGCATTGTCAGTGAACACAATCCACCGTGCCATCCGCCGTTGCCAGCTGAAACTCTACAGTGCAAAGAGGAAGCCATTTCTAAGCAAGCTCCACAAGCTCAGACGTTTGCACTGGGTCAGGGGTCATTTAAAATGGAGTGTGGCAAAATGGAAGACTGTTCTGTGGTCAGATGAGTCACGATTTGAAGTTCTTTATGGAACACTGGGACGCCATGTCATCCGGGCCAGAGAGGACAAGGATAGCCCAAGTTGTTATCAACTCTCCGTTCAGAAGCCTGCATCACTGATGGTATGGGGTTGCATGAGCGCTTGTGGCATGGGCAGCTTGCATGTCTGTAAAGGCACCATTAATGCAGAGAACTATGTTCAGGTTCTAGAACAACATATGCTCCCATCTAGACGTCATCTCTTTCAGGGAAGACCCTGCATTTTTCATCACGATAATGCCAGACCACATTCTGCAGCAATCACAACATCATGGCTACGTAGGAGAAGGATCCGGGTACTGAAATGGCCAGCCTGCAGTCCAGATCTTTCACCTATAGAGAACATTTGGCGCATCATAAAGAGGAAGGTGCGACAAAGAAGGCCCAAGACGATTGAACAGTTAGAGGCCTGTATTAGACATGAATGGGAGAGCATTCCTATTTCTAAACTTGAGAAACTGGTCTCCTCTGTCCCCAGACGTCTGTTGAGTGTTGTAAGAAGAAGGGGGGATGCCACACAGTGGTAAAAATGGACTAGTCCCAACTTTTTTGGGATTTGTTGACGCCATGAAATTTGGAAGCAACAGATTTTTCCCTTAAAATGATACATTCTCTCAGTTTAAACTTTTGATCTGTGATTTGTGTTCTATTCTGAATAAAATATTAGATGTTGGCACCTCCACATCATTGCATTGTTTTTATTCACAATTTGTTTAGTGTTACAACTTTTTCGGAATCCGGTTTGTACACTAAGCACTGGTAGTATAAAAACAATATGCCGAACAGCAGCACAAACATGAGTCTGTGTGAGCAGATGAGCACGAATGAACACAGCAACATGAAACAGATCAGCAGCAACACGTTGTGATTTTTCACAGTGATTATTCTGGTTAGAGATTCATGAGTCTAACAGCTTCAGGGTAGAAGCTGTTCCTCAGTCTAGTGGTTCTACACTTAATGCTCCTCAACCTCCTTCTAGAGGGGAGCGGGGCAAAAAGTGTGTGCTGGGTGAGTGGGGTCCTTCATCCTGCATCTTGAGGTGTAGACGTCTGTGATGGTGGGGAGGCTGACTCCAACAGACTTCTGTGCAGCCTTCACCACTCTCTGCAAAGCTTTATAAGCTTTGAAATAAGCTCAGGAATTTTGGGAGAAAAATTAAAATACTTAGAAGCAAAAGAAATTTGCTGTCAAATTAAGATGCATCGTCTCACGTCATTGTTCAGATCTAAATACATATCCATGAAGAAAGGTCAATGATTGACTTCTAAAATGTTTCAATAGGTTTGATAAAATTTCAGATCTCCCCCTGGGGATTAATAAAGGATCTATCTCTATATCTAAGTTAAATTGTCTTCACTTTGCTTTAAGTATGCATGAAAAATAAAAACTAAATTTGTGCCAGTTTATTAATAAGACAAAAGTTAGGACTTCACTGTGAGGCTTTTCAAAAGTACTTACACAATTTTTTTTTTTTTTTTTTTTTTTAACTTTTTCTCAAGCATCCAGTTTCAAACTAAGAAATATTTCACAGCAGCAACAAATGCTGAACTGGACAGAGAGCCAGTGGTATTTTATACAAGACAGGAAGGTTGGATGGTGTCAACTGTTGTTGGTGGTGATATAAATTCTGATGTCACATTTCCCTTTAAAATATATATATATATAAAAAAAAAAACAGACAACCAACAAACATGAGTGATGTTTTATTAACTTTATTTAAGGCTGAATATGTAAAACCCATGAAGGTATGTTTTTTAACACTGATATTGGACATTATGTTGTTAGCCATGGTAATATTTGCTTAATCTGTTAACAATAAATTAAAGAAATAATCTGATAAGCAGCCTTAAAAACATCTTTCACTTTAACTTATCTAATGACACAAAAATTATACAATTTTAAATATGCTAATCTTATGAAAGGAAAATTTTGGTAAATGTTTGTCTTGTGCAAACAAAACAAATGACAAAGAATATAAAAAAGAGATTTTTTTACAAGAATGTTTCTAAGCAACAATCCAGTTTCCTCACTGCTCATTAAAATGTACAGTGAACCATGAGCACTGAGGATAAAAGGCTTCTATTGTACATGGGTCTGCGACATGCAAGAGTTATAAAAACGTTAGGGAGGGAATGTATAGAAGTATGTACGGGAGAACTATGGCTTCTAAAAGAGAAAAAACAGAGCTCCAGTCAGTGATCCTAAATGTCAGAGCCCATCTCAGCGCACTGTTTATCTGATATGTGCGTAGCTAGAGACTCAATGATGTCCAACAGCAGCAGCTGGCTGAGAGACCGCAGGTTGGGAAGCTTGGATACCTTTGGGAGGGGAGGAAAACAAAAATAAAATGAAAAAATGAGCTGTAAAATAAGACAAGTCAGACTGAAACGGGTAATAAGAAGCTGTTGATTGCACATGCACAGATAAATGAAGAGAGAACAAAAGCTTAACAGAAAAAACAAGAGCAACGCTAACTCTCCAGTGAAAGAAAAGTGAGTGCTTCGCTGTTTCTTTGGATAATAAACAATATTCAGAGTGCCACTGTGACCCTTATCTTCCTGAGATAAGGTGCTTACACAGCCGGCCGAGCTGTAAACAGTCTTCACTCTATGTACAGCATGTAGGCTGATCCATACAGGGGTCAAAGAAGCCAGTTTCCCCACAAAGAGGATGGGACTAGAGGGTTAGCGCAGCTGCAGTGAGTGGGCAGCACACCCCCAGAGCTCCGGATACAAGCCCACCCACCTTGATGAACTGGTGGACAATAATGTGGAGGCAGTGTTTCTTCATGTCCAGAGCCTGCGTCTTGTCTGCTGCCTCCAGAATCTGGAGGGAGAAGTGAGAAAAGACGATGTTAATTCAGCAGGAAAACAAAAGTGTCATCCAATTAGGTCACCGCACCCCCATGGGGAAAAAGATAAATACCTGCAAGACATTTTCTACAGTGACGTTCATCTCCAGATTCTGCTTACAGTAAGCCTGCAGCCTGTTGTTGGAGAAGCCATAATAATATGGTGCAGCAAACAGATAACTGTTTATCAAGAGTCAAGGAGATTAAAAAACAGATTTGAACATGACACTTTTTAGTAAAACACATTTGGTATGTACCGATACTGTAATAAAATTAAATTTAGAAAAAGATGCCTGTGTGGTAAAAACGGTTTTAAAGTTTAAGAAACTAATTACTAGATAAATGAGGTAAGACTTTAAGATAAGTCTTGCACAACAAACAGATGAAAATGACCTATTGCCAGAGATGAGGTGTGAACCTTACATAACTTTTAAACGAAAGAACACAACTGTGTCACGCAGAAAGCACAACGCAACAATCTATCTGTCAACGCTGAAAATTGTGTTGATTCAACTTTGCCTGAAGCATAAGCTGATTTTTTTTTTGACACATCAAACATTCCTACTTCGATAACTTAACATAAGTGATTTTACTGGAGAAATACAATTTATTTCTGGGTAAACAATTTGGACAAAAAAGAAAAAAAAATTGAGGGTTTATCATAATTTTTTTAAATTATTTTCATATTTTCAGAAGGATACAGAGAATCCTCTGGAGGCATGTTGACGTCGCCATAGTAGATATAACGCAGCATAGACTCAAAAGCCTGCTTGCTTGGGACCATTTCACCGATTGATATATTTACCTGACTGTCCTCCGGCATGAAGGAGCGGAACATCGCCTCAAAGTAACTGTGGAAAATCAGTATAAAAAGCATCAATGAGACAAGACTACAATCATTAGAAACAGAAAGTTGTGCCAAAACCTACAAAAACTGTAATAACCTAGATCGGGCCGCCAGTATTGCTTTGTGCGCAGGCCGTGGGTGTCCATCTAAAAGCAGAATAATGTCACAGAACTCCAGACCGCCCCCCTCCAGGTAGGCTTTCATGTCCTGGACAAGAGATGTCCCAATATCCACAGGCTGGTCTGAATACACTCTGGGGGGAGGCTGCTGCTTTCGTCGCACTATCTCCACTATCAGTGGAGTGGAAAGATGCTCAAACTCTTTTGTCATGATCACCTGGTTAAAGTGTGACTCCTTCACCACAAAGTTAAGACAGTGCTCCTGGGGAAAATAAGTTTTTGGAATTAATCGTCATTTAACTTAGCTAAACTCTTAAATCTTTAAGAATAACTTTATATAAAACTGGCTGGTGGAAAGATCCGCCTCCGTTAGTTCTGTAAACTCACAACAACATTCTGACCTACAACCACTAGAGGTCAGTTAAAGCAGCCTTTACAGCTGTTGATTTTAAGTTCTTACAATCTTTATCTGGATGTACCTTGAGCTGGTCCAGTTGCAGCTTGTTGGCATTTTCACAAACACTAAGAACGTTCTGCAGATCCACAGATGCCTCGATGTACTGAACGCAAAGCTGCTCCAGCCGAGAAAGCTTGAAACTCAGTGCAAGTTTGTACACATCCATGATCAGGAGAACATCCTGGACATGACCTGTGTGAGCAAACGGGACAAGAGTAAATATGTATACCTTTCATAACTTGGAGGTCACTGCATGACAGGTATTAGGAGACAGGTATACCTCTGCGTGGGTACTGGATCTTGTCGGTGTAGAGAAACTGCATTAAGACTTCAAAAGGCTGGGCTTCTGCTTCCCTGATGGATACCTCCAGCATGGGCTGCACGCCTAACGGCCTACTGCATGCTGGGATATCCCTCGGGCCCCCAGCTGCTCCCTCATCGCTTTCCTCACTGCTCTCCCGTTTGGCCCTCTGCAAGACAACAAATTATCTAACATTTCATTACCCTCTTTGATCTCACTGAACTAACATGTTGACAGTGGCTGCGATGATACTGAGTTAAAGCTACAGGCATGGCTAACTCGTTTAAATAAAGAAGACCCAAAATTCTTAAATATGTTGCAATAAAGAAAAATCAAATTAGATTTCACTGTTTGTTTTTCCGAACGGTTTATAGAAGAGCGGTTTTAAACAAAATTTTCCACTTTGCAGCTTCAATTTTATATCAAGTCAAAAATTAGTTTGTTTTTCAGTGTCCAAACGATGCTGGTGGAGCTAACACTAAATTAAAGAAACACAACGGTGACCTGAAGATACTGCAACATGTCATAAGGGGCACAGGTGTATTCTCTCAAAAGTGGTGAGTTTTTGTTTTGTTTTGTCTTTTTAAACTGAACTCTGCAAGCTTTCAAGCTTTTTTTATTACCTGGTCAATAGCTGAGCAGTGATAAAGAATCTGGGGTTTAAGCAAATACAAAATGGCCATGAATCATTTGACACTCATGTAGTCACAAAGAATGTGAGGTGAACTGGCAGATCTGACCTGTTTCTGCCTATCTTGAGCCTGCAGGATTTTCTTCCGCAGCCACTGACACCTTGCAGTCACTATGGCAATATGCCCCAAGACTCTCTCCTCCCTCTGTAAACAACAACAGATGTGGAAAATACAGGTTAGGTGGACCATGACAAAGTAGCCTTCCAGGAATGGAATTACATTTTTCCTTTTTATCCCCTACAGAAAACTAATAAATAAATA